CGCTCCAGCCGCATTATCTGCGTACGCTGCATGTGTCTACCCAGGCCCCCTGATACGGACGCAGGTTCCTATGGTTTGCCGGTACCCATGCATGGAACTACACCAGCCTCGCTTTGTTTCCTGAATGAAATGGCAGGCAAATGTCCCTTCCTCATAGCCTAAACCTGCGGGATCACTAGCCCACATTATTATTGGCCTGCATCCTGCTAGCCCTCACCGCTGCTTAACCTACTTCACCCTCAGTGACGTCACGACAGCGCCAGGCCTCGAGATGTGGGCACAAAGGGGTTGTGCAGGCAGGGCGTCGCGGCGCTTCTCGGGGATCAAACCCACACGTTTCACAAATCAGAATGCTGCCGGTTCGTTCCCAGTTATTCTAAAGTCTTCGTTCATCGGCTCCGGAGTTGATAATTTTGCAAAACTCTGTCTTCTAGGTACCCTGCTCTCCTCTCCTCTCCTCTCCTCTCCTCCGGCCGGTTCTCCACATAACCGAATTCCTGGATTTTGTCCACAGTGTTTCGCACACAGGATCTATTTCCGTCCTCAGGTGTGAAAGTTTGCGAGGGATGATACCCACTCCACCTACCGATTTGGGTAGTTGCCTGCCCACCCTGTTCACCCTGTTCTGTGCCCGAAACGCTGCGTTCCTTGTAGAAAACCAGACCAGAATTCAAGTAACTCCACGTGTAATACACGAGCGTCAGAATCCTTTAAAATTAAATGCCATTTATTTTTTGTAACGTCTGAAACCGCGAGAAACATGAGTCAGCGCGTTACAGAAACCTTCTGCATTTTTCTCTAAATAACTTAGCATACAAAGAGTTAAATTAACTAAGAAACAGTACGAATATTTACAGCGAAGGGGTGAAATGGTCTATTTAAATAGAAATGTTAAACGTCTGGGCAAGGAAAAAAACAAATAACAAGCGAGCTTGTTCAGTAGCGACATTAAGTCACGCAAAACCCCCGAAAAGTAAAGAACAGAGGCATATACATATATATATGTTTAATGACAAGCCTATCTGTTTATTCACTCTCGTCTTCACCCTCTCCCTCTCCCTCTCCCACACGCAGTGCTTCGTCTCGCACTCTGAATTCCCCGCACTGCTCGGCACAGAACTTCCGGTTCCGGCCACGAATATTCCACGCTTCCGCTTCAGCAGGTTGCTCTACAAGGATAATATCAACATCGTCCAGTCCCTTTTCTCTAAAAACGTTCCCTCAGCTCATAGAAATGTACATCCGCTCGTTTTATTTGAATGCACGCCACTGATACTTTCGCTAGCCACAAAAAAATCGCCATTTCCAAAAGATTCTCCGTGTGCACTGATCTGTGTAACGACGCTGTGACGGTATGGCGTCGGGTGACTGGAAGAGCAATGAATAATGGAGTGGAAGGAAGTGGTTTTCACATAATTTGAAGTGGGTTTACTGCCCAGCAGTTAACTAGCGGAGCTGAGGAAGTTCACGGAAACCCCCAGCATCCGGAAAATATGGCAGTCACCGCCAGTCACATCCCCAGCTGAGACCCCGTGACAGAGGAGTTTCGGGTAAGGAACGTACAAATGCGCTCACCTGATGCACGGAAACCACTGCGCATTACTTCGGTCAAGAGGAAATAGCAGCTCTGTTGTTGCGAAATCAACATGGCGAGGTTGCCAGCGTCATGCCATAAGTGTGGTCTGACGATTATGTAGTTACTACTCCAGGAGCCAGCCGTGATTTAGTGCCTCGTAAATCAGCGCCATGTGTAAACTCGGCTGCAGCCCGGTGACCATGGACCTGTTTGCTCTCCAGCAATAGCACTGAAGAGTTCCCTCTCGGCCAGCCTTACTGTGGAAATCAGTGGCGTGCAGTCACTTCCAGTCATCAGTACCGCTCACTTCCATTTTATGGGGATCAATGGTGTGTATCATAGTTCTGTAAAGCTCGTTGTGGCGTTCAGTGGCGTGCAGTCACATTCCAGTTATCCATATTATTGCGTTCAGTTTTATCATATCGGTGTTGTACAAGATATGTAGTGGGGTTCAGTGGGGTGCAGTCACCTACATCCCAGTCATCACCACTGTTCAGTCAAACTTCATGATGATCAGTGGCGTGTGTTCCATTTCTGAAAATGCACTCTACAGTTGATAAACTTACAATTTTACAAGTTGAAACTGAGCCTATTTTTCGATTCTCTTTAGCATCCGTACAGTGTTCACTGAATTCACATTTTACTGTATTCGTTAATTACAGAGGAGGTTATTCTGGCAACTCAAATTGCACCCTGCGGCCTACGAATGTGGGCTGGAGTTCGCCGTCTCTAAGAATTCCTAGCCACACAGAAGCAGTAACTTCATTTGCATAAGTAAGCATGCATACACATGCCGCTAACAAATATATATATGTCTGTTTGTGTAGAGTATTTGTGGTGCACTCTGTGAGGCTGGCCGGTATACCTGGGAGGCGCACTGCTCTTCTAGCAGTCGGTGAAAGCAACAGCTGTGATACTCTGACTGACACTGCACCCAGTCTCCTCTCCTCTGCAGCGGCAACGCTACAGACTTGTATTCGGGTGACATGAGGTTGGAATCCCGGCTATGATACCGCCCGCCCTACCTGAGATTTTTTATGAATGTCATAGTCCCTCAATCCAATTCCGGGACAATGCCTCGACTAGATCACGACCGATTCCTTCTAAATCCTTTCCAATTCATCATTCATCAATCATCCTACCATTGGAAGCCATACGGGCACGTCACAACAAAATCATGTACATTCAGGGGCACGCGGTGTAAAGGTTTATCTGAGCAGTGACGCACTCACTCGGCCCGTCCTTTCTGAGTTCCAAATACACGGCCACAAACTTATCTCTGCTGCAAAATCAGTGGCATTCAGAGACCTCTTTGGTAAGTTTATAGAACTATCTATGAATGAAGTCCGTTATCTACCAACGGCAGTGATATCTAGTATTTTGAAGTATGTTTAAGTTAACACATTCGTGACTTGTTTACGTCAACATGGAGTTACAGGTTCCACACGTACATAACTGACTGACCGACCGACACTCTAACTCATTAATTAACTAACAAATTCCACGAAATTTAGTCCTTCTTGAGCAGCTGGTAGTTGCTCAGATACTCCAGAAATTCCTGATACTTTACAGAATCCGAGGTTCAATTCCCACGTTCGCCAAGAGTCCCGCCATTGGGTTCTAAGCACAGCCAGAAGCATCGACTCTACTCTCCCGTCCTATTATATTAAGGATCATTTTAATAGTATTCTCCCAGAAAAGCCTACGTTTTCGTAATGGTATTCTTCCATCAATTTCTACTTCCAAAACTTTGTAGGCACTTNATCCATTTTAATATTATTCTCCCAGGAAAGCCTACGTTTTCGTAGGCACTTCCTCCTCTGCGTGCTACATGCCATGATCATCTCATCCTCCGACACGTATACAAATATTTCAAGTCAGCCATTATGAGTTTTACTAAAACTGCGTCCATATTCGCGCCTGCTCCCAACTGCCCAGCATTACACAGAGTGTGACTGCACTACAACACGACGAAGACAAACCGACATACAAAGACACAATGAATCTGCTGAAATCCTTCCGGATGCGACTACAACAGGAAACAGCCATGTCTGTAACAGAGCATTTATCTTCTCTCGCACGACACGCCAAATAAGCTGTTCCGTAGGCCGCGTTCTGTTTCGTTTCCTTGCAGGTTCAACAAGGGACCGCGTATGAAAAGAGCAAAGCGTCCCGAATTTCGCTTTGTAGCTAGCTGAAAGCTGCCAATTAGCGAGGTCTGGGCTTCCCCCTTTCACACGATCAGGTGATAATGACGACACAGGAATCAGCAGCGATATATCGGATTTCTAATTGGCTGCAGTAGAAGCAAGTTGGTGTGTCACCAGATGGCAGAACAGCATGGCAATACGCTTATTTAAGCACTACGCCATGAATATGTGCAGGGGAGTGGAGGTATAGCTCCAGTAATTCTTAATATCGCAGATCGAGATGAATCACCCCCCGCGAATGGGCGCCCGTACCCAATGGGTAAGAGGCTTGCTAGGCCTCAGAGGAGGTCTGAGAGCTGTCGAGCAGAGAAATATATCTTGTTCCTGCTGGGAATCAAGCCTCGATTCTTCGGCCACCCTGCCCGAAGCCCGCTAATACATCGTGTGAAAATAAGGAAAAAATGACAATTTATGGGGGGAACAGCACTCATGATGGATTCGGGCAACTCTTGCTGTTGCCACTCAGCTCGCCCGGGCTAGTTCTGTCTAGTTCTGTGTGGAGTGCACATCACAGGAGGCGCATGCGTAGTTGAGGGTGTTTGGGAACGGTGCTGACGCCTCTCGATTGACTTAGGAAGTGGAAAAGACAAGTGAGGGTCGGATTGCATAAAGAGCAGCTCGACGTATGTCATTAGGGATATCAAATCAAAGAGCACGAAGGGGGGGGAGTGGGGAGCGTAGCCCGCACTGGACGTTAAGAAATGCGCATAATTTGTCAATTAGAAGACCTAAAGGGAAGAGACCTAGACACAGATGAACTGGCAATATTAAGATGGATCTTACAGAAATGGGATATGCGAATATTGCCACTGTGAGTGACACTCCACTTCCCGAGAGTTTGTTCCAACAAGTAACCCTCCCGCCGCTAGCTGCACGCCACTGAGAGGCAGTCTGTCACACAGACCTTCAAACCGTTCCTCATATCTATCAGTGCCTAATCTACTTCACCCACCTGCCTCCAGACGGCATCCTCGTGGTGCAGATATAGCACGCAGGCTAGCTGCACGCCACTGGCATGTAGTCTGTCACACAGACCTTCAAACCGTTCCTCATATCTGTCAGTGCCTAATCTACTTTACCCACCTGCCTCCAGACGGAATCCTCGTGGTGCAGACATAGCACGCAGGCTAGCTGCACGCCACTGACAGACAGTCTCTCAGCCAGACCTTCATAGCGTTCCTTGTATCTGCCAGTGCCTAATCTACTTCACTCACCTGCCTCCAGACGGCATCCTCGTGGTGCAGATATAGCACGCAGGCCAGCTGCGCGGCCGAGAGCACGATGCCCGCCCCCACTGCCTCCAGAAGGCGGATTGGCAGCAGCGAGTACGTGAGGTAGATGAAGAACATGGCGGCCCCGACTCCCGTGGAAGGAGCGCGGGGGTGCGTGGACGTGGCGAGGGTCACCTCTAGAGCCAGGAACGTGGCCAGCACGACGTAAGAGACGCCCAGCAAGTAGAGCTCATTCAGTGCGGGACGAGAAAGTATGGCCACCAGCCCTGCAGTCAGAGACAGGCACGAGTTCACGGCAGCACCACAGCGAGCCTTGAGGAGACACGGGGGTCTTGGGGAGACATAGGGAGTATTGAGGACACCATAGGGCGTCTTGGGGAGACACAGGGGGCCTTGGGAAGACTTGGGGGTTTGGGGAGACAGAGGCATTTGGGAGACACTGGGGGCCTTGAGAAGACACGCGTCGTGAGAAATAAAAATATAAGTCATGGCTCCCGGGGGCCTGAAACAATTTACCAGAGAGGCGTAAGTTCTCGGCAGAACCACAGGAGGCCTCGCGGTGACATAGGGGACCTTGAGGATACAAAAGTCCTCAGAAAAGACACATCGATCCTTACAGTATAAATATGACTCCTCAAGGGAGAATCATGTCCGTATGGCAAGCTGATTTCATGGGAGTCATGAAGGAATTTTCTTGGAAGTCACAAAGAGGCCTCGAGAGAGACACTTCCGTAAGACAGGAGGATGATGACCAAGAAGATACAGACGTAATTAACAGATGGCGGCAAGCGCGTGTTTCTCACGACGAGCGCCGATTGCTTACACAGCCGACTCACCAGCGTACACGGCGACGCAGCACGTGAGAGTCATGCCCACGGCGATGAGCCCAGGCTCCCGGCCACCCCACGAGCTGGATAAGAGCACGGCGCTGAGCTGCAGGAGACCAAGCACCGAGCACAGGGCGAGCAACAGGACGAGCAGGTGCGTCATGTTGCTCTGGTTCATGCGGAGGAAGTACCGCTGGTACAGCATTTCCACCTGCGGGTTCTTGAAGCGGTGTGACTTGCACAGGTGGTGCAACAGGCGCCGGATATGCCACCAGGTGGCACTGGCTCCGCTGCTGGGCCGTGACGTCATCAGCAGGATGGACTCCGCGTCCGTGGCGTCTGCCCGGTCCCTTCCCTCCATGCCCCCCTCACCCACATCACCGCCAGCTTCCTCCTCTTCCTCCTCCTTGATGCTCGCACCCCGGGACACACCAACCTGGAGGACAGCACGACGCTGCATCGGCTGATGAAGGCATTCATATGGCTATTATCAATTTTAATATTATGCCACCATATAGAACCATGTTTTCTGGTCGGTATTTTCTTTTTCGGGCTTCCGACTAGAATTTTGTATGCATTTTCATTGCTTGCGTGCGTACCAGAGGTTTGTTTTCGTGGCCATCTGCAACGAACGGATTCCGACAGTAAAGACATGAAGTTTTCTTGCATTTTAAAATAAAGTAATTGAGATAAGGGTTAGAGCATTCCAGAAAAGTGCCCTGAATCTTCCTGGGGGTAAAGGGCGACCGGAGCGTAAGGCTGACAGCCTCACCGCCATCTGTGAGCCGAATGTCTAGAAAAATATGGGAGCCTCGACGTCTCACAAACCCATGGGTCTCCACGGCCTCTTACAGTAATAACTGTATTTTATTTGTACATGCAGAAACGGACGTAGGTATTCACGAAGAATCGTCGTTAAAAATGTCGGATGGACTATATGGCTTTCCACGAAAATCAATGCTGTGGTTCTAGAGATATTTTCTGTGGTAGAGACGGACGGCCTGAGGGAAACTAACAGACCTTCTGCTGGTTTTCGATCGCTCCCACAAACTCCACATTCCACCCACACTGTGCATTTATTGTTTCGAATGATTCTCAGAATAAACAGGAATTAATTCCATAAACTGCATTAGCCGGTTGGTCTGGGGACTCCTATCAGGGCCGGGTATGCAAATGCCGAACTATTGGCCAGCAACCAGTCTGCATTCGGAAGGTCCTGCGACCGGACAACTCGACCAAGGCTCTCCGTGGTTTCCCTCGGTCCTAGAGCAAGTTGGAACCCAAATTTCACGTTGCACTGCATGCTCCAAGTGCAGGCCCTCCCTGTGTTAGTATTTAAACTTTGCCATGATTCAGCCCTTCCAAATTTAACATAAAAATTCCGACCATACGCAGCAAACCCCCTGTTCCAATTGTTTCCTCTGCTCATAGCAAAGGCCATTTTCCACTTCCCAACTTTTTACCCTATCTCAACCGTAAGTTGAGCGAGTGCTGCCGGAAACCAACACGGCCCTCCCCTTCAAAATGTAGTGCATCTCGCTACTTCCATCTTCACTTCGTCCCCTCTCGGTCCTGGACCAAATGATGTCCATGTTGCATTCCTTGCTTGGCGTGCACCCCTCCCATTGGGAACATCAGATCTCGTCCTGGTAGTATCCAGATGTTAGACCCTAATTCCCAACAAACGCAGACCTCACAATGTTAAACATCGAAACTAATTCCGATCATGCGCAGTAAAGACCCTGCCCTACTTCTATTCTCTGCTCACAACTAAAGTCCGCCTCAAAACCTTTACCTTTTTCGCTTCCTAGAGCTTTGCCCTGTCTCAAACGTACCTGTACCAGAAGGACGAGCGGGCACTGCCTAGGAACCTTAAAGCCAAAGAAAATGTTCTGCCCTTTCCCTTTCAAATATCATGCCCCTCACTACACCCTCACACTTTCTCACTTTTACGCTTGTTGCCCTTGAGTATCTGCAAAATGTAAGCAGGGTGGGATACGGCAGGAAGCTGTGGGACGCCGGCGGGTTGTAAACAGCACATACTCGGGGGGGACCGATCTCGTGATATCCTGTCTGGATAGCCAGTCCATGCAGAAGATACAAAGTATGACCGCTACCTGTTCAGTCCACATCGGCACAGCGCGCCTGAGCGAGTGTGGAGGGACAGGAGTGCGTGCAGGAGTGAAACATCGCCCTGTGCAGTGGATCAGTGATCCAAATCTTCTATGGCATTATTAAATATCATGTACTGTGCCCGGCGCTTAATTATGCCGCCCGCCTGCCCCTCCATCGAAACCCGTCATAAACAGATGAAAGCCGCTTTGGTAGGCAATCGATTCCATGTAATCTCCCCAGATGAGCCCCCGCGTGAGGGAAAACCAATATGTTGCAATTACTCGACCGAAAAGCAATGCTATTAATAAGATACGTGTATGTTACAGAAACTCAACTCACGGTGCTCTTCTGTCAGGGCTCAAATTCCTCGACGAAAACCCTTTGTATAGCCCTTTACATGCCACGCTCGAGATGTGTGTTCAGAAGCACAGCCCGTTCTGGTCTGGATTCGCTTTTTTGTTTGTTTGTGTGTTTGTTTGATAATTCCAGTGAACAAAACGTGCCCTGCATTCTCCACGCATTTGAAGTTAACCATTCGTGGCTTTTCAACAGGAGAAATTATACGTTGCCATAGAAACTTTCTAACACAAAAGCGTTTCTTTAAATGTGAACAACGCGCAACAGGTTAATATCCTGGCAACAGGGGAAGCCAAGAAGAAGAAGAAGAAGAAGAAGAAGAAGTAACTGGATGCACTCTGTGAGGCCGAGTGTTTCTCGATTCCAGTTCCCTCTGTGGTGAACCACTCCACGCACTCTTCAAGTCCATCTACTTTGCTTCATGTTTCTGCAGACCCCTGAAGGGGCACGTAGCTGGAACCAGAGGAGCTTTCTGATTCTCTCTCCAGCCTCCTCTACCCGCAGAGTTGTTCATTCAAAAATGATTACGCTGAGAGATTTCATGGCCAATCATGTTACGGCATTCTTGTGACAGGAGTAAAGGAGACACCATTGTGATATAATTAAAACGAGTCACTGCCTGACTATCAGCGTAACTCCATGAGCTGGCCGCGCCATAGCTCAAGCGGTTAGTCGCTGGCTACCCACCGCGGCGGCCCGGGTTCCAGCCCAGGTCTAGCCAAATGAGATTTGTGGTGGACAAAGTGGCGCTGGGGCAGGTTTTCTCCGAGTACTTCGGTTTCCCCTGTCAATCTTCATTCCACTAAATTCTGCATTATCATAATCACCCGGGGCAGGTACAATAGGCCAATCAGTGACCGACGTTCCGATTGGACTCAGTTGGACTCCACCTCCCACTATGCGAATTAAAAAAATAAATAAAATCCATGAACGGAAATATTTCTAAAATTAAGACTTGGATTAGCGAATGTCTTGAACCGCCATGTTGGGAAATGGGCGGTAAAACTTGGGTACTGTGTTTACAGTTTGGTTCAAACCGGAAGATTTGTAGGAGTGACAGACGAGGGCAGTAGCTTCTAGGCTGTGAGCGCCGGGCTAGAATCTTTAAACAAGTTGGACGTCCCGCCGTTTCATGAATAGTTCTGCCACGAACTTAATATTTATATAAGTTATTGCACGGCTGAGCGAACCCGTACAAACTACAGCCATTAACATGTTATATAAGTGCTTAGAACAAAGATGAATACAATTAGAACGCTCGCAGTCAGCTGCTGGAAAAAAACGCGTTGCTTACAACTTTTCCGACAGATGGCATTACATATTTATGTACTCAAACTGTATTAGAACTAGAGGGTTCAGTACCATTAATGCTAAATGTCGCCATTGTGAGGCACTTCAATCCAATTCACATTCTAATACCCGTTTCCTTTGTTGCTCAAAAATATTGGCTGGATGTAATTCTAACTTGGTGGGCACCTAACAATACGACTGAAAGTTAATTCTCCTGCGACTTTGCGAGAGGTTAAACTGCTGAAATACCTAACATGATAACAAACAAACAAAAGAAGACAATTATATAGGGTTACAAGCCCAAAGATGCATTTTAACATTGACCCTGTAATTTTGTCTTCCAAGCAGTCACTGTCGGAAGATTTTCTACACACAAAAAAATAATAATAAAATCTGTTTTCTTGTTATCCCCGTAACAACCGGCGTCCTTTGTTTGTTTGTTTGTTTGCAGGCACGGGAACAGCAGATATTACATATCGCGCGTTTGTAATATTCCACAGTGCCCCAGGGTCTCGCGTCACAAAATTTCTCTGGGCAGGTGTTACACGGACTCACCGCAATGAGGGTAGCCGACTGCGCAGGTTTACTTCCACGGGTCAGCGAGCCAGACGAAGACGAGAAGTGTTCGATGACTTCCCAGTTGGACTTGCGGGGTACAGGCGGCGGTGTGTGAACCTCCGGCAGCAGGGCAGACCGCGCTGGAGAGCTGGACAGCTCCAGGCTCGCCTGCCGACTCCTGATGGCGCCCGCGAAACCGGCCCGACCATGTTGCCGAAGGCTGAGACTGCGACGCGTAAACCGGGGCTTCCCCGTCGCGGCCGCCAGCTCCTACAACACGTGACCTCACGAGAGAGAAAGTGCGCAACAAAGAGAATGTTTCAAACACGAAGCAGATCAGCAAGTAGGCAAACAAAAAACTGACTAATTGCAGAAGTATGCAAGCACATTAGTGATAAGACAGAGAGGGTACTGATGCCTACACAGACAGAGACAGACAACAAACACATACACACATGTATACATACATGGGTCTGGTTTGAAGGAAATACGCCACAACCACGTAATTTCCCGATAACGCTCTTTTGCAGCGAGGTTGATGTGGTGCAACCTGCACAGATAATTAGCTGGACAGTGGAAAGCTCTGGCTCCACACGCCGGATATAGATCCGAAAATTTGCAACTGCCGTCCCAACTTTTCGTGAGTCTAAACTTCGTAACGATAAAGGTCGGTGAACAGGGGCCCGAAAGTGTGAAAGCAATTACAGGCGAGCGAAGGCTGAACAGATTCCATGTCAGTAGCGGCAGTTGCTGGCGCCAAGTGACGCGGCGAATTGTGCCCGCGTCATGATTTGTGGGCAATATCTGATAAAATCATGTCTCAGTAACCTGAAATATTCTCTCGAATTACGCGCATCTAAACGAAACCAAACGTTTAAAAACAAACAACTAAGATTTATAATATACAGAATGTCCCAGGAGGAAAGTTCAATATTCTGGGAGGTCACAGTATCGGTCATTCTAAGGAAAAAGTGTGTATGTACACGTGTCCTGTTCCGAACGGTTTCCGAGATAGAGCTACTTCACAGTACAGTTCCAAAATTGTTGATAAGAAAGAGATGTTATGTACTGTTTCTAATGCCGGTATTTATTGTTCAAGAGACAAAAGTTGGTATAGTTTACCCAGTATAATACATTTTCGAAAATTCTGCCATCAACATCAATGCACTTCGCGACTCGTGTGAGGGCATGGCGTGTTGCTCGTCTGTACAGTGAAATAGCTCTATCTCGGAAACCGTTCGGAACAGGACATATGTACATATGCACTTTTTGCTTAGAATGACCTCCAGAATATTGACATTTCCTCCTGGGACACCCTGTATATTACAGAACAAACGGAATATTTCGGCTTCCATCCAGTGACGTTTACGTCAGTGAGTTATATCGAAGTGCAAACACGCCACTCGAACCTACCCATTACATTCTGTACAAAAAATGCCTCGCCGGCCGACAAAGCAGACGTTCTGTGTCCAGGCGTAGGTGCAGAGGACGGGTCGCAACTATTTACGGGTACCTAACCGTCCATCAACTCGATGAAAGTTCCTGTGCGCGTGCGCGTGTATCCTGCCTCTTCATTCTATTGTTTGTTTTGGAATATTTGCACTCATCTGAGGACACGTTATCGGACAAAACGTCCGCATTTCAATGGGGAAACAAGTCCGTTTAGTAGCGAAGGGGGGTGAATCATGGTGACGGACTCCCTGCATGGTCAACTCACCTCCTCTATAACAGACCGCCTTGGACCTCGTAGCGAGAGTCTCTGCTTCCAATCCCTGGGTGGGTTGTCGCTGGTGTGCATGGAGCCGGCCATTACATGCCGTCACTACCTGTAACATGAACCAGCAAGTGGTAATATCCTCGTTACGCCCTTCTGGCCCCGTGGGTAATGCAGAGCGCATCAGCATTCACGACACAAGTCGCTAATGTCAGTACACAATTTACATTACGATAAATACAAGAATACGTTCAAATGAATTCAGATTTTAATTAAATGAAAATTTGATATGATTTCACATAAATTCATTAGTTTTACACGAGTCATTTAGAATGGATCCGATCATGTACTATAATTAACATCATTATCATCATCGTCATCATCATCATCAGGGGCACGCGGTAGCGAAGTTGGTTGCTGCACTATGCTACAAGCCGGAAAGTCGCGGGTTCAAGTCCCGATGAGGTCACTGGATTTTTTCCAGTTGACCTAATCCTTCCAGCCGCACTATGGGCCTGGGGTCGACTCAGCCTCTAACAGAAATGAGTACCAGGAATATTCTTGGGGGTAATGGGCGGCCGGTGCGTAAGGCTGACAACCTCACCGCCTTCTGTGAGCCGATTGTCTAGAAAATGCGGGAACCTCAATATCTCACAACCCCATGGGCCTCCACGGCCTGTTACAAGGATAGCTTTACTTCTCTCTTTTTTACTTATCATCATCATCATCATCATCATCGACAGAACAGACCTTGTTGAGCCACAGCCTTCCTTAAAAGGTTCTGCCAGATTGCGAGCGGTCTGCATTCCTTTGGATTTCGCAACAATTTCTTGCAGCGCAAGGGCTTCAGAACTTGCGGCCAACCCGCAGTCTGGAGGACCAGGTGTCTGTACTGATGTACCCACTAGCACCGGGTTCCCTTCCTGTCGCCTCCTACGTCTCGCAGGGCTGCGGTGGAGGCATTCTAACCGGCCTCCACACGGGGCAATATAATTAAGCGCTGAAACCAATACGAGGGAGACTCCAATGGCGTGCAGTCCTGAATAGAACCGATATCTTGAAGATTCGACAGTTCTAGCGATGGTGCATAACAGCCAGAATTACTGCGCTGTCCTCTTGTGCGGCGCGACGCGAAGCGTCGAGAAAGCAGTCGACACAACTTACCGGCACACCTCTCCAAACACATTATTAGTGATCTGTATGAAACTAAATGTTTATATGACAAATTATTAATAAGTCACAAGCACAGGTTCTTAGGAAAAAAAATCCTCTCTTGATAACTCGCAAGGGCAAGGAGACATAAAGCCACCATGGTCAAATAGGTAAGCACATTACCAGCATCACTAATACTGTGTTACACTTGCAGGCGGTACAAGAGACTTGCGTGATCCTCCTTCATAAGACTCGACCCTGAGCCTTACACCGGACGAGACACGAAAGCCTTCACATCCAAGTATCATTGGGCCATACAGCAAATTAATTTTAAACGTTACTGATATTTCATCATCGGATCTGTTTTAACATTTCTATCTTCTGAAATATAACGCTTTGCAGTCCACTGACAGTCAACCGACGTTTCGAAGGAAAGAGTCGACTCTATCTCGCGGTTCGAAGAATGCAGCACAAAGCAGGTAAGGGGCGCAGCTGTGCTACGTCCTTCCTGCCAGTTCCAGTGACTCCAGCTCCTCGAATTGGAATGCACACAGAACCAAGTTCCCTTCGTGCGGCTTCTTGCAGGACGAAAATCCTGTCTTCGATACGTGTAATTAACTGAATCACAGGAGCACTGGAAATGGAAACACAAATGCCGTGAAGATGGAGGTTACCGAAAGCCATAGCAGGCCACGCAACCTGCAACTACTCACAACCCCATTCATTATTCAGAGGGCTTTGTCCCAGCAGAACTTCCCTTCACACGAAACGGATACAAACCCGCACACAGCCACCATCTCCCAGACAGACAAATGCACGTGGCACTCTTTAGAGACGCATAGCTTGCGGAAACGAACCAAATTGAAAACGTTGTAAGTGGAAGGTCAAGGGTTCGAAGAGCCCGCTGGGAGAGGCAGAATGTGACAGATAAGGAGCGCTTATTTCCAGTCATTCCTGTCGCATGCATTTCTTTGATAAGTATTTTCTGCAGTTGACAAATTCCAACGCCGTTTTAACCAGACGCCCACCGTTGCTCTAACCAGCATTCCTGGTTGCCTATAATGAGATCCACAAGGCGCTACGAAGCATCAGGACATGACGTCATACTTGCATATCAGGTATGACGACACGTCGGAGCTGTACAGATTGGAATCGAAAACTGTGGCAATAGAGCCTAGACACAGAGCTTTGTGCCGCTGTTGCTCGGAGCAGGTGTCAGATAATCCGCACAGCCACACCGGGGCGATTAGTTAGCGCAGAGCGAGGCGGGCTCACACAGGTGCGCAGCGCTGCGCACCGGCGTTGCTGCAACTTCAAGCTCCTGTAATTTCAGTCTATAAGAAGAGGGGCCCGTTCTTCCCCCGGGACACGGTTGCTCCCCTTGTCAGCGTCACACCGTGCCTATATACTCGTAGGGGCTACACCTTCAAAGAGGGAATAACACTTAAGGTATAATTTAAAGTTTATCCATTTGGTTAAAGAAAGACTGGGGACGAGGCTTCGAATCGCACCCATAAATACTTGCATAATGTTTCAACAGCAGTGGCTACCGTACATATTGGTACGAGAACTTTCTATCAGGGCAGCAGTAGGAAAGGGGAAAGTGACGAATATGTCCATTGCTGACCGCCTGAAAGCCGGGAAAGCAACGAACAGAGATGGAAGTCCATTGTCAGGAAACTGCTGGATAGCAGGCGTTTCCGCTGCAACGGATGCGCTAGTGAAGGTCAAAGCGGTGCCACGGTTTGACACACTTTTTGACAACAGGAGACTAAGAGGGCAAACGTTTGAGATGGTGACATATTCGGGCGGCCTCAAAGTTATGAAAGAGTCGTAATTCACTCGTAAGGGAGTTCAATGTGTGCGCAGTCATTCGTCACTGGTCATTATTCACAGCGGAAGAGAAGAGACTCGTAGTCCAGCAAGGAATAGAGCAAGTAGTAGACGCTCACTGACTGTGAGCTATCATAACTGACTGTAATTGTAAAGAAGTGACAATAAATCCTATCACCATATCCAGAACCCACTGTTATTAGTCACGTAAACCCCAAGTACGTGACAATATACAGGTTGTCGCGTGGCTTTTAGAATTATTTGGGCACTCAAACACAGATTACCGATAAATTCGCGCCCAGCTAGAAAACTGACATCACCGCCATCTTGTTATTAATGGCAAGAAGAAAACAGGAAGCGCAATGCGAGCTTCATGAGAACAGGCCAGGCCTCAACAGTTACTGCGAGGTGCACACCCGCACACAGACATGCACAGATATCCACTGCTACACTTGCAACTCCCGTCAGGCACGAACGAGGCGGACACTGACAACCTGACCGCCATGTTGGGTGGGAACACCTTGGGAAAAGCGTCTGGATAGACTGACGTGGTGGCTACAGGATAATATTAAAATTGTCCTCCGGCCAACGACTTTTGGGACGATATGGACTTCAATTAATAATCTACATCTGTTTCCCAGTTCGTGTCTCGAGCTGATTACAGGTTGTCTGGAATGAGCTCTTCCGCGATTTTCTTCGTCCCCTCCAGACAAATGCTGGGGCAGTGCTTCAAATTAATCCACGGACGCTTCCTTCGAGAGCCTTTCCAATTACTTCTCCAGTGATCAACGTACCGCTGAGCTACTCACAGTATCAAAGGAACGCACAACAAATTGGCGTGAGCGCGCGATGCACACAGGCGCCATCAGCGAGGTTAGTGGCGAGTGTCAGAGCAACACAATGCAGCGCGACACTAATTAGAGCCAAGGCAGCCCATGAGCGGATTAATTGGGTTCACATTACAGCACCAATTTGTCAGGTAATTACTGTCATATTCGAAGCTAATTACGGCGAGAGGCCCAGTTCACACCACATCGAGCCCGTCTAGTGCACTGCGCTTTCAGTGACGCAACAATCTGTGAGACACCCAGACAACATCTCCATGTTAGGGCCAAGAAAGAATATTCAGTTTATAATTTTAACAACAGGGATAGCTCAGTCAGTATAGCGCTCGGATACTGGCTGGACGGTCCCAGTTCGATTCCCAGCAGGGGCAAATTTCTCTCTTCTCCACAGAGTCCTAATCGGCTCTGCCCCCCCCACCGCCCCCAGCAACATATACAATGGGTACCGGGGGTTCTTTCCGTGGGTAAAGCTGCTGGGGCGTGAAGCTGTTCCCACAACTCCAGCTAGTGGAGAGAGCAAGAATGGTGGAGTTTCACCTCCACTTCCTCATAGGTCTTCACGGTATAGAGCTTAATTAATTAAGCAGATTAGAAACTAACTTTTTGCAAGAACAGCAAGAGCGCTCTCGGACAGCTGCATCCAATTCCGGAGAGAAGCAACACAACAGCTCGGTCTACACGGCGTCACATGGAAGGCTGATCGCGAAGTAATGAATATGACCCGGCATTTGGCTGGAGGGACTGAGGCAAATCACGAATACTGGCTGGTACTTAACTCGGTACCTTCTGAAGAGGAAGAAGGTCTAACCAGTCGGCAGTAACGTTCGTTACCAAAAGTCTACGAAGTCAATTAATCCTTCGGTTTAGTGAAATTCCTTCGGTTGAACTGAAAGGAATACCAAATTACGGCTCATCCACTTCATGTTTTGCCAGTAACAGCTCGATTCCCGGATGCAGCTGGGCTACCGTGTTCATCCTCTAGTTCAAAAAGCACTGCACACTCATTCTCCAGGGATAAAGCAGTCGTAGCGTACAGCTGAATTGAAATCTCTATATAGCACTAATGTTACGAACGTTGGCATTTGATCCTCCATGTCTGCTATACTGATTCATGGCGAGGGTTAGACACAGGGGTGTATTTCACTCCATGTGACACTGAGCAGATGCGGGACAGTGTGAATGACTAAATGTTGTAGTACTGACGCAATGCGAGAGCACACCGTGTGAACTGGGCCTCGCACAGCTCTGGTCCGTAGTCAGGGTAACGGTTTCAACAGTGGAG